GCCATGGCACCGAACAACGATTTGAATTTCTTGAAAATATTTAAGGATTATGAAGCTATCGATGAAGAAGTTGCGAAATCAGTGCATGAAGGAGTTTTGACTTATTTGAAGAACCTGGACAACAGCCTTATCGGACTGTGTCCAGGCATGGAAAAAACAATCGTTTCATTTTGTGCGAGTCGCGCTGATTTCGTTCGCATTCTCATTGCTTGTATTATCTTCGATGATCGCAGAATTGAGGTAAACAGATAGCTGCACTATGGGAAATTTCCATACAAGCAGGCGGACAAAATTATTTGCTTCAATGTAAGATGTTGAATGTTTATAATTACTAACTGAGCGACGAAAAACAAATTTTGATGATTCCTTTTGATAAGGGCTTAGTTGATATTTAATGATAATATTTTCAATTTTTTCTGTAACATTTACTTACGCGTTGTGCGTAATTTTACAATATAGTTTCCATTTAAATGAATGGTTATATTCAGTCTTCCTAGTTTATTTCAGTTATAAGATAGGTAACAGAATGAGTGAAAAATGGGGGGATTAAAATTAAATTTTGTTTTCCCGATATTGTACATTTTTTTATTTTTCGGTACTGATATTATCACTAGCTAAATCTTCTTCAACTTCGTCAACAGTTTCCAAAATTCTTCCAATGCATTGCAGCATCACAGACTATTGAGCAGTTTTCAGAATTTTCGAATAATATAAAACTTTTGACAATATCGGGATGCTCGATGCTTTTTTGTTTGTCTTCTTTTCTCCATCCAAATGGTACTAATGAATGGATCTGATTCATTCATTGCCCGAATGAAGACATCATGTAAATTTTCGACTCTGGATCGTTTTCTAGCATGGTGAGTTCGACATTTTTTCAGCTGTTTATGCTGATTTTCTGCTGCTTCTTTTGCTAATATTCCAAAAGGAGCTGGCGAATGAATTGTTATTTCTCCAGCATGAGCAAGTACTTTATGTACGGTTGTAGGAATTTTATACCAATCATATAAAGAAAGATAAAGTCGGTATGTGTCTTTGCAATAGGCATCATTTTTTCCCGGAGTATTACCGATATTTTAAACGCTGCTTAAAAGATGAGGATTTGCGAATCCTTGTCGACAAACGTTACCTGTTGTGCTAGTACCTGCTCCTCCCGATCTTGGTTGATGAACTCTAACTCCAAATTTTTAATAAAGCTGTGCCGTTACTTGTTTAATTCTTTGCAAATACTGTTCTTTATATGGCTGTAAAACTTTCCATTGCTTTATATCCATACGATACGAATTATGCAGCAAACATTCAAAGAAGCGAATACATGCATGAAGTGTAGATATACCATAGACTAGGGTATCTACTTTGTATAGAAATCCTTCTTCTTATTTATCTTTGTTGTTCATTACGTTTGGAGTTGCCCCACAAATAGGACAGTTCTGCATTGATGAACGACCACAAATATATGTCAACACCTTACCGTCAATCATACTTAGTGCAAATTTAAAATCAACCAAGATTGTGTTTCCGTTTAATAGATCAAATTTCACTGGTATTAGTTCTTGCATTTCTTTCTCCACGTCTTATTTTGTAGCAAGAATTATCTCTTTACTCTCTTTCACGAATTGCAGTATGAATGGCCCACAAAACCGAATGTTTTGAGGCATGCGGTTAAACCACATAATTTTGTTCGGATTATTCACCATACATAACCGTGATGAGTGTTGATGAGAATACATCAGAATCATCTTGACATTCGTCTGGCAGTTTTTGATGATACTGGGAATAATCGGTTGAACCATCCATGCTCCAACTACTCAATAGAATCAATTCTGCATATTCCAGGTTATTTGATGTCATAAACTCGTCGAGTTCCATCTCAATAACTTTGATGATTCGTTGGACTGTATGTTCCAACAGAGCCTGTAGTTTCACCATTATTTTGGACGCAGTTTCCTCAATGGATTGAATTGGTGGGGCACATACTTTTTTAAATGTTCCGATAACATTGTATTGTGGAAATCTTGATGGTGCCTCTATTGACTGTTGCTTAAGCCAGCTTCAATGAACATACTAAATGCTTCTTCAGGTGACATCATTCCACGTTCATCTGTTAACTGCGCGTATATTTTCTTTTAATGTTCTTGGGTTTTAATAAGGTGTACAATGACCTTAACCAGATTAAAGTCCCGTCGATTATAGGCAGTCCGTCGCGTAATAAATAAAGCCTTCTCGATGCTGTCCACCTTTGGATTTACTTCCTCGTTGTCGACGAGACGACGCTTGCTTCTTTCGCTCAGCTCATTAAGCTGTTTTGAAGGTCTCCCTCGTTTTGATGTTGAAAGAACGTTCTGCTCTTCTTCGATGAATTCCTTGATGGCAAATAAGATTTGAGCCAACTCCGATGATCTGAATCAAATCTCTCTTTTAATCGTTGAGATTAATTCCACTTCTCCTTGTATTTACTGACGAGTTTGTAAATTTTATCATGCAGTCGTATTTGGTTTTCCACGTGGATATGATATTTTTCACAAATATACTTGAAAGCGTTTTGAACGTTTTCGCTATGCGTTAGTTTTACGTCAAAAAGTGAAATAATAGTTCTAATATCCATGTGCGATGAAACTAGAAATAGCTCATAACAATTTATATAAGATTCTGACATTGAAATATAAGTAGCTTCAACAAATCTTGAATGATAGGTAGGAAAACTGGCTAGCAGATTCATTATTCTAACTTTGATTCATAATTAAGCCCACAAATAACAGGTATAAATATATGCACCATCACAATACATTCTTAATACATCGTGCTGTTTTGCTTTTTATATCAACAACTAAATTAGGTCCGTTGTTCAACAACATATTTCATTATAACAAATCATTTCATTGTGAAAATTAAGAATAGGGTAAATGTTGGCTTCGGCACCTAAGACTATTTTCGGCCACCCATTTTCAAACGTTAATAACACTGAATTATCCCAGCAGAACATCCTATTAGATGTATTCAAATGATTTCTTGGTTAATCAACTACAAGCTGATTACATTTTGATGTCTGAACAAATTTGTCATGCTAGATTTTTACATAATGCAGCTAATTAAGATCTGCCGCTAATAGGACAACCGGTTAACACGTAAATGAAATGGAAAGGCTGTCGAAGAAAAAGAAGCTGCCAATAATTGTCCCACTCACCTGGGAAGTTTGGAGCGTTGTAAAAACGATTACAAACAATTTTGGACAATTAGGTTGATTGGAATACATAAATCTTCACATACGCGAAAATAATGTATTTCATGAAAATCAGCAGCGCCGGTGGTGTAGTGGTAAGCGTGATTACCTCTCACCCCAGCAGGGGATGAGGGATTGCTTGCTGAAGAAAAGCATGTTGGGCTGTTCGGATGTTGAATAGTGTAATAACCTGAAGAACAATCATCAAACAGAAGCCTATTCATCAATATTCGAAATCTCGCTTACAACTCAAGAAAAAAAACAAGAGAGTCCCAGATGTTCGACATAACAGTACTGAAAGGTTAAATGACACAGGTGGATAATAGGGTCTCTTCAAAATGATAGGTTTGGTGGATGAAGTATTTGCCTCTGACAACGATAACTGGTGGAGTGGATGAGATTTGTCTGAACCTTAAACACTCAACCGTGGTCCGCTACTAATTGACCGCATAATTCTTTCCACGATCGGTCTCCAGGTACCTCAAGAAAATGGTTCATCTTCCTCAGTTAGATTAAACTTCACTTACATAATGGTTTTGACAAAGTTGATAGCTCCTTCTGAAAGTTGTCTTTCCTCGATTCTGTTTTCGAGTGATGTGAACTTTTATCTTCAAATTACAAACAAATGACATCGTAAACACGATGTCGACGTCAGCATTTCCTCAGAACATGAGCAAAGTTTGGTCCCATATTATATAAACTGTCATCTTGTTACTCTCCCCCACCTCCCATCTACCATCACAAAGATCCTATTTCCATACCCGGCATGACATATTATGGCAGCCAAGGAACATGCATGCATCCACTTGAAAGTATCAAGATGAGAGCACTTTGAGCAAATTGGAGACAACCCCAATATATGTGAGTTACTCTGCAAATGTGACACCGTCTGACATTTTTCTTCTTTATCCTGCGACGAGAGCTTTCCACGTGCTTGTTCGTATTCATATGGCTTAAAATGTTTCTTTCTTCAAATTTCGACCGCCGAAAAAGAAAGTAAAAGAAATGCTTATCGCGCTGACGAAGCCATCCACTCTTGTCAAATATTCAAATTGAACGTGCAAATTGCTTCACAACTCGGCTTACCCCGGTTCCATTATATGAAAGATGTTTATCGTTTTCTAATACCTGCTTTTCAACTGGATGAAGGCTCAATGATCGTGTGACGTGTGCCCATGGAGACGTAATTTATAATTTATTCCGTCATGAAACAGGTTTTTTTGCCTCCTATTTATGGCTCTGCTCATCTAACCATTTGAATGCCTAAAGTACTTTCCAATGAAAATTCGGCACTAACAAGCGGAGTCTCATGTTGAGGAGAAAAGAGGCCAGCTAGGAAGTGGTTTCGTGGGGGGGGGGGGGGTCGAGGAGACTTGCACGGAAAATTGCCTCGAAAAAATTCCCCCTAATGGCACAATCAGAGGAACTTTGAACTTTTTCTTTACGTTGGGTTTCGTGCACTCATTTCTTACATCATCCATATTTCAGGCTTGACGTGGCGTGCAAGTGGTGGTAGGTAGTACATAAGTAGGGAATCAGTGCAGGATCATTATCATAATCATAATGGTTGAGTTCAGTGATAAAGAGAGCGAACAGTAACGATGCTTGCTGAGCCCAAGAATTGCGTTGAAGTTAAGAAAATGAACGCTTCCTTCCTACGCAGCTCATGAACGGGACAATATTCTGTAATTACATCCGTTATAGCGGCCGTTCTAGGCAAAATGAAGTGAACAAATTTGATACTACTATTTCAGATAATCGCCATAATGTCGATACTCACCTCAAGGATATGCTCGGACTGGTTTTCCCTATCAAGCTTCCTGGCAGTAGTGGTAATTAAACCTGAAATTAGAAAGAAGAATCGACGTGGTTATTAACAAGCTCGAATCGGATCGACAGGATAAAACTGTTGTGCAGTGGGCACTTTCTCGGAAATAGCTATAGAGCTACGATATCGAGCCATATCGAGTAGCAGGGCTATCACAGTAAGGTACGATTCAATTTTTCATGAAAAGCGTGGTTCGGAAATCGAGCACGACCACTCGAGCTATGGTAGCGTGACTTCCACTGATAGCGGTAACCGTGCTGATAAATTTATTGTTTCTGCGAAGGAAATCGAATTATCGTTTTATTCCTTATGCTCCGATTAGCGTTTAATGATGTTCGGTCTAGTCTGTGAAACAGTGCACGCTGGTCCAGGAACCGAAATTAGCAAGACAAAACCTCTAGCGCATTGGAATTGCATTATATTGAGTTGGTGTATTTGATGAAGTTTCTTGATTTGACATGCGCCTTTATCTGGTCATGGAAATTAGTTCCAATTTTCGCCGCATAGATGGTGCCTCGATACTAACTTTCTTATTTAGAATGATAGATGTTTGCTGTATCCGGCCAAGTTGTAGAGCACAAACAAATATGAAAAATGCCGAAGAATCCAAAGTTCTAGATCTTCAAATATCAAAGATACAGTGAATATTGTAAAATTTAACTGAATTATACGGTTTTGTACTATTTTCCATACAAACGTCAAACCCTTCATTTCTAATGCCATGTATCTTTTAAGTCGCATAATTTGCAAGTTTTAAGGAATAGTTCCCAACTTTTGGGTACAAGCGAAATATTAGCCAAAATTGTGAAAATTACCATGATTTTCATAATCAATTTTTTCGGAAAGTAGCAAGTATTAGCAAAATGTCATTTACTTTCTGAAATGTACCATTTATCATCAATCAAAGGTGAAAGTTTGCCGGACATATAATTTTATATATTTGAGATATCTGAATTCTTAGACTACCATCTTTATTAAAGCAGCGTTCGCTAAAACACGGCTTGCTGTTTTTTTTTCCTGTATTAAAGATATTTTTAGCCATAGGCTAGTTCATCTCTTCAAACTGGTTGCATTCGATGGAAATGATGGAATATGTCTCTTATCACTGGCTGCACGTTGGAGAACGCTGTACTAATATTCATATGCACAAAACTACTTCATGTATATTCTCGAATATGTGAGCGTGTGACAAATGTCGATGAGATATCTAAATTCGTACACGCAAACCAAAAATCTATTACAATGAATGTTAGTTCCGTTTCCTATCATCCTCTGTTCATGAACATCGCAACGAATATTAGAGATTGACCATGCAAGCGATGTAATGGTTTTTTGTCTTTTTTTATTTCGTGTTCTATCTACGCGTAAGCTTGTAGAACGACGCACATTGTAGAACATTGTAGAACGACACACACACTTGCCTCGAATCTCTCCAGCAGAAAAAGCATACGGAGTCGAGTATGCGAGAAAATGAGCGCTTCATGTTTGCTTTCAGGCTATCCATATTCAGAAGCATGGAGAGAGCAGTAGAAAAAGCACAGGTCTGGTAATCGCAACGTTCGTGGTATGAGTCCAGTCGGCAGTCTGTTGCCAATTTTTTTCGACATAACTAATTTACCTCACTAATACACTCTACATTTTTCGGTCTCCAATTTTCTTGCATTGGACCGCAGCTAGGTATATCACATCCTCGGTTCATGCGGTCTCCACTAACATCCTCTGATGATGAATCCCACATAATTGTAAGCGAATCTTACATCCCCCGGTTGGGTGTAGCAATTTCATTTTTTTTTAAATTCTAACAACTAACTGTTATCTTGCATTGTCGATTATTGCAACAGCATTTGCACGAGTTCTGGAAATTGCTCCTTATCGGTTTGAGGAAACTGTTTCTGCAAAGTTATTCCATTAAGAAAAAAAAACTGTTCTATCCATTTAGGGAATGCTTCGTCATGATATGTTAAATTTTCTCCTACGACGATATTTTTTTACTAAATAACTTGTCGTTTCTCTGAAATGCCTCAATAGGAAGCACTCTACCTCTGTAACCTAGCGGTTATATCTTAGCATTTCCTAGTCTGTCCTGAGAGCGTCAAGTTTTATACTGGTTGTATAGATTGCTTGCTGGTTATATTACGTATAAATTTAAAACAAAACAAAAACATTAACTTCCAATGCCGCTACCAGTCTGTCAAAAATTTTACTCTTTATTTCCCTTGCATAAAGGTTCGTGGATCTAGGATCTCTTCCACTGTATGTACTGTGCCTTATGTTTTGTGTGAGGGCCCACAACTGTAGATCCTCCAGCAGTTCCACATTGGCGATCGTCTCTTCCTCTTCATACTTAGAAGCACTGAAAAGTTTTTCATTTGTCAAATCTAAATCGATTTGATTATGTACGTCTACATAAGTGTCAACATCAGTATCGAATTTTTCCAGTATTGTATTCTCGGTATCCGGAACAACTGGATTTGCAGGCGTTGATTGCTTGATGAAGAGATGAACTAGCCTTAGGCTAAAAATCTCTCTAATAAAAAAAAAAAAAAAAATGATTGCTTGATGTTCATTTATGATAATACTCCCGAGCAAAGTCTGAGATCAAATTGAAATCTAAATTTGATGTTGTGATTTCGCTGATAATGATTACTAAGGTTGCTGTTGTTTTGGTCGTTTTAACGGTTTAAATATCACAATTGAGAGCAAACAAATCTACCTGTGACATCACATTGAAAACAATTTTTTTCTATCAGTGAGAGCAAACTGAAAACTAAATTTGATATCCATTTTTCCTGTTGATAACAAAACAAGTATTCAATTTGATGTTATGCTAAGGCAATGAAAACAAACCCGCAACAACAGATTTCTGAAGCAAAATGAAAACAAAATTAGGTATAAAATTTGTCAATTGCGTAACTGATGTTGATATCAAAACTTGATTTCAATTTGCTGTCATTTTGATGCTGGACTTTGCTCGGGCTGTTCTGCGTCGAGGAATCCGTCATTTGTCGAAAATTCTTTAAACGATTTATAAGGTATTTTCTGTTATTGTTATGATGTATTTCTTTTCTGTAAATCTTAAGAATCTTTTGAATTGAATAAAAGTTGTATTGAGATTGTAAAGAAGTATTATTAGAACTTCAAGTTTTATAATGGTCATGAAAAAGTATGTCATAAAACTTTGTTACATGTTTTATTCTTCAGCTTTAAAAAGGGATACAAAACCACCTAAAAGCCATAGTTAAAACTACGAAGTTTTAGTTTCAAAGTTATAAAATAGTTTTAAGGACCACGTAAAGGCTTTTATAACCATTACATAAAACCATAACACAACCATAGGCAGCCAGCGATGCTATGATAAAACAATAATAAAATAAGAATAAATCTTCCAAGCATTTAAATTGTAACTTGGGAAAACTACAATTTTTTACAAAATTTTGAGAAACACTATATCGTTTTTTTATGTAATGGCTAAATAAATTAAAGAAATAACCCAAAAAAAGAGCCTATTAACAACGCAAAAAATGACTTGATAATGATAATAATGATGATATGGAACTACCATTCACTATAGCAAGATAACTGTGGGTAGACTGTGGGCTATCCTCGTTGTTCGACTTGATCAAGTTTAAAAACCTCTAAGAACGGTTTGGCTGAATCCGTGGGCAGCATCGCTCACGTGCATCCACGGGATAAATGAGAATCTCCTTCCAACAACAGGATCTTACAACCGTTCAAAAAAAAACAGGCCATCCAACAGGAGGATGTCCCAAAGAGTGAAGAGAAGAGCCCGCCCTCTTTTCACTAAATGTTAAAGACAGGGAATTGGCATTTCCACTCTCCCCATCCATTTCGCTTCAATCAGGTGCCCTGGTGGACGTGGACCTTTCCGTACCCAGCATATAATGTTTCATATAATAATCGAATGAAAGTTAAGAGCAAAATAAAGGAAAGATCTCACCCGATATGGTACAAAGGAATCCATGACATAGATATGCTGCCGTTAATTCTTCAACCGGTGTTAAAACAGCTATATCAGCTTTCCTTCGTCACACAGCAGCGAAAACTCCCAACAACCACAAAACACACTCTAACTGCTCCGACTAAACGGCGCCGGTGGTGTAGTGGTAAGCGTGATTACCTCTCACTCCAGCAGGCCTGGGTTCAATCCCAGTCGGCGCCGCCGGGATGTTCTGAGGCATAATATCTCTGATCACGCCTTCCTTCGGTTCTCAGCACGGAAAACAAGATCGACGGAAAAAACAAACCAAAGGAAAAAAAAACTGCTCCGACTAGAGGGACCACTTTCCATCACCAATCACTCGCGACACAACGGCTTCAGATTGTCAGTACACAGTCTGAAAGACGAAGTAGCACCCCTACACCGGCCCAATGAACTCGCGACCAACGGTGAAATCAGAACCGACAACTCCAGCGACTGAAAACAAACGCGTCTAAAAGTGGCCACGGCACACTTCGATTGCATTTCTGAAACACAACTCACAAACACGACGTCAACAACATTCGAACGCCAGCATGCAGTAAGCAAAGTGAAGAAACAACGCAAAGAATGTCAGTCCGCATCGTGCTCTCTTGCCGTGCGGATCTATTTGCTTTTTGCTGAAGGAAGTGTTACTACTACCTAAAGCTACAACAAATTTAAACAGCACTTTTCAGTGCTCAACCTGTAAAAATTTTCTACCTTGTTCCAACTCTTATTCCTCTTCGATCCTTGTTTGGACCCTACCCGAGGTAATCCTTCTTGGATATCGATTTGGAAAATTCCTCTTCGATCCTTCAGATTCTTATAGTAATCTGCTTGGAAGTCGAATTGGATAAAAATTTACTGCCGCCATGGCGCCTAAACGCAAAAGAAAGGGGCAAACTCTTGACCCCCCTTCTGATGAAATTAATTTGAGTAATCAATTTGATTTGCTCACGGATGATGAGAATGATCCATCATCCAAGAAAAATTCTAGTAAACTTTCCCGGCTTAATGCCAAGAAGGAAAAGATTG